AGCCCTGCGCCATACCAGCCTACCCAATGACCTATCAACCAGCCTGGTGCCATACCAAGCAGCCCAGTGGTCCCACTGATACTGTACCAACTAACCCATTAATACACATTATATTGACCTACAAGTATGCACCATTCCAACCAGCTTACCTGCCCCTTGACACCACACCAACATTACACTTCTTAATTCTGTCGCAGGGAGCTGCTGCCTATTCCCAGCCAACGACAGGAAGTGTTGATGCGTTTACTGGAAATGAAAGTAAAACCAGATTTTTACGTGTTGTACCAGCTAGTCACTGGTCAAACTGGATAACTTAAAAACAGTCTGGTTGTGATTACCAACTGATTGATTCATCCCGGATTGTCAATCTTAAAAGACTTTTGAAGATTAAAAGTACCAGTTAGTGGTTTTATTTTCCTTTGGGCAGTTTTGAGGTTCATTTCACTGCTGCTGCTTGTGCTCGTTGGCAGACGTGCACACCTGTAGTCGGTCTTTCTGCTGGTATAAAGTCCTGAAGCTGTTCGTGCTGAATATTGAGCTGCGGGAGGTGTTGGAGCTGAATTCCAATGAGTCCTGCAGGTCACTCACACTTTGGCTTTGTTCTAAGCTCTCATGCGGTCAGTAATTGCAGGATCCATAATGAGCATTTTCCAGCCTCTGCAGAGGCAGCGTTGCTTTGACAACCGGCTGTTGATACGAGCCGTAATGAAGTTGATTAATCTCCACACTCCGAGGGCTGCAGACAAACTGGATAGCTGCAAAAATAAACTCTGGGGGTGTTGAGGTGACTCCTTGTTGCCTGATTGGTGTTTACACAGCATGAAGGGGTCATTGGAGCTCTGAGCAGAGGCTCATGGGAGATTGTTAAGTTTGTCTTAACATTGTTTGGTTTGAGAAGGGCAACAGGCAAACACTAAAAGAAAACCTGACGGCAAAGTTCTAAATGTTTATTTATTCGTCATATAAGCAGAGATTGATTGGAAGGTGAATGAGCCCAGCGCACGCTGGAACCTGCAGCATCTTTCTTGTCTCCGGTCACGAAGACGTCCCCTCTGACTTTACCTTTCTCACGTCACGCCGCTGAGTCGTGACTCTGACTCGTCACTTCTTATTGATACGGAGGCTGCGGCTGCTAATACTAATTCATGTCGGTCAATAGATGCTCTATCTCTTCCTGCTCCTGAATACAAAGTCAGGATTGTCTCGAAAGAGGCCGGCATGAGTCAGAGGTGCCGAGTAAAAACGCTCTGCTCTTAAAACCAGTCTTCTTCCTTCAACTTCTGTTTTCCCGTCAGTTTTTGTTTGTTTGAAGTTGTAAAGGTATGAAGCTTTGTCTTTGGCTTCCTGACGTCCTGAGACCAACATTTACTTTTCTTTCTTTTAGGAGTGTGTGGCTGCTGCGGGCCGCTGAGGCCGAGGTACAAACGACTGGTGGACAACATCTTCCCAGAGGACCCTAAAGTGAGTCATCAGAGGCTTTACACACCTGGGAGGTCCTAAATGTCTGTGAAGTGCTGGTGAAGACATTATTATAATTTCAAACGGCTGATTAGGCCCGCTGCTGGTCCCTTGTCCTCCCTCGAGACAAGTCTAAACCCACTGTATCCTCCTGGAGCGAGTCCGTCCACAGCTGCTGCACGTGGCTCTTGAGCTCAGATGGGTTAGCAAAAGATCTGACTGGGACCAAACTACATCCAGGTCCGACCAGTCCTGCTGGAGTCGATGAAAATGTTGCATTAATATTTGGTTCCACCTGAATCTGTCCAGTTCCCGTCACACTGTGGGTGCTTTTCTTTACCGAGTTTGGCGCCCACTTAGTGTGACGAGGCGACACCACCAGGGAGTTTCGAACCCACGGCACAGGAGCGAAGATAAACCTGAAGCCACCTACATTACTTCTCTAGTTCCTCGTTTACTGATTAAAATGATTAACGTGGACACTTTTTCCAGTCCTTGTTCTTGATCTTCTCAGAACACGTTTACAGCAGACCGAAGCCTTTGGAACCTGCTCACGTGGACTTGTTTCTGTTCTTCAGGATGGCCTCAGCAAGTCCGACATGGAGAAGCTCACCTTCTACGCTGTCTCGGCTCCGGAGAAGCTGGACCGGATCGGGGCGTACCTGGCGGAGAGGCTGAGCAGAGACGTGGTGCGACACCGCTACGGGTGAGGCTAAACCTGTTGTTTACCCATAATGCACCGGGCCATGTTTGGAGGGAAGCGGCACAGTCCCAGTACAAGGTCCCAGAGGCCGTTCGGTAAAACATTGCACAGTCTGACCTTCAGGGTGAGTCTGCTACCACTCCTGGCAGCTGTCTTCAATGTTTCCCTCGTGTGAATAATCTTTGTCTCTGTAATGACCTTTGACCCTTCCGAGGTCGACGAGCAGGTACTGCTGCTTCTATAAAATCATTGCTGATGTCTTTCCAACTTGGTGTTGTATACAGCTACAAATTCTTATTAATTAGGGACTAAATTTCTAACTGAAGGTTGTTAGTTTGTGTTTAAACCTGAAGTGTTCGAGAGTTTTGATCCAGATAACGCTCTGGGTTTAGTTTCAACTGAAACCCGTGTCTGCAGGTACGTGGTGATCGCCATGGAGGCCCTGGACCAGCTGTTGATGGCGTGTCACTCTCAGAGCATCAAACCCTTCGTGGAGAGCTTCCTGCACATGGTGGCCAAGCTGCTGGAGTCCAGAGAGCCCGACCTGCAGGTTCTGGGGACAAACTCGGTAAGGCGCTCCGGTATAAAGTCCGGCTACATGGAGGCGTGTCTCTCGGCTACTTCAGTTTTCTTTTTGTCATGAGTGCAGATTATTTAATTCTCTCCGCCTGAGCAGTCACTCAGATTCACACTTTTAATTTGTGCCTCTAGAGGTTTTAAATTGGAGCATTTTTCTAAATAAAAGCCCTTAAAGTCTGAAGCGTCTTGGTTCAGATTTATCGGCACCGTGTGGATAATGTCGCACTGCAGGCACAGCAAATATTAAACACACGGAAAAATTAAAAAGTAAATAATTTCACCACTAAACATCTGCGTCTTTTCCCTGAAGGTTTTTGTTTTTAAGTTCAAGTTAATGTTTTTTAACAGCAAATTAGGTTTATTTACCTTATCTGCCACATATTTGACCTTTTCTTGCAAAGCGTCCCTGTATTTTTTCAATAGATTTTTCTTGTCATATTTGCTCATAATCTGCTTTCAACTTGAATTTATTTGTTTATTTTCACACGTTTTTCGCTGCAGCCCAGAGGCTGACGGTGCTTTAATGGCTAATGTAACTTCGGTAAAGGAAAATGCTTTTTAGCACCTCCTGTGTAAGAGCTGTAGCACATTCAGCTCCACTTTCAACTCCTCTGAAGGTGAAATAAGTTGTTTTTTCCGTCCGAGCTCGCTGCCCTTGCCGTTGTTAGCGGTTGATCCGAGCGGGACACGGAGCCGAAGGTTCGGATGCATTCGGCTCTGCATTATTTATGTGTGGTATTTAGAGTCTGAGAGCAGACGCAGAGCCGGGAGGTTGGAGGGCTGAGGTGCAGACAGCCTGCAGGTTAGAGACGCGCTAATTAAATTTTCTTCACGGCGCCCACCACAAAGCTGACGATGTCCTCTTAAGTGTTTGTTTTCTTTGTGGCCTACCGGAGAAAAACAAAACGCTTCTGTTTGTTCTGCTGCCCAAGTATCAGTTTAATGAGTTGGAGATTTCTGCCGAACAACAAAAACACAAAGCTTAACAAATGACAGCAAGTCAGTTGAAAGACATTCGGCTGCTTTCAGCGGGGCTTCAGTTCTGTTTAATTACTCGGAAACATCACACGTTTGGTGATTATCGTCCCTGAAATGCTACAAAACATTTCAAAACGAGACCGGGTTTCACAAAACGAGTCGTTTTAAAGTGAAATAAAATAAAATGAGCATTTCTTGAAGAATCACATCTTCGGCTGATTTGCAAGCCGAAGTTTTAAACAAAGAACTTGCGTTGTGTTGTATGTGTTTAAAATCACTCTCAACTACTACCACACTACATTTTAGCTGATTATCTGCTGAGACCGTGTCAGCCATCTTGAATCAGGTTGAGCTCAAAGGTTTTTCGTTGTACATCCAATGATTACATATTTTAGAGTTTCAATAAAATACATCTTTTGGTTTGAGAGATATTTTACTAAAAGACAAATAAACACATTAACAGATACTGGTAGTCACATGGTCACCCATCTTTCATGGCAGTAACCAGTAAAAATCACACTTTTCTAAAAGTTTTTACAAAAAAAAAACTTTCACAGTTGATGCACAAGTTCAGTCGGCAGAAAGTCCAACCAAATAAACATTTGAATAAAGAAAGACCAACCTGGGAACAGGTAACAATCAACTTGAGATCATTGTAAAAGAAAACAAGCGTACAAACTGCTACAGACCGACATCTGTGCAGAAATAAAAGTTTTATTCTGGTTCTGAATGAGCTGGCCTACAGGAAGAACACAAGAGGACCAGGGACTCAGCCTTGCTGTACACCGAATGGTTAAATCTCAAAAGAACTAGAGAAATTGTGCTTTCTGTAAAAATTAGAGTAAATGCTGAGTGCTATTATGTGGCTGAAATTTACTGAATTAGCTGAAATTTAGTTGCCAAAGCTAAAAAGATGCAAAACACTAGCTAATAGCCGAAAGTAAAAAGATGCTAATTAAAAGCTGAGTAGTAAAAGATTAGCAAAAAAAAAGTTAAAAATGACAAAAGTTAGCTAAAATTTGAAAATATTAAAAGTAGCAGAATGGTGGTTAAAAAGTAAAAGAAGCAAAAGGCCAGCTAAAAGCTAAAATGGAACAGTATGCAGAGATAACAATAAACTATCTTAACGCTAAACGAAACAAAAGGCTGGCTAACCGTATCAAAAAGCTAACGTGTAGCAACAGGTTAAAGCTAATGGTAGCGAAAGGCTAACTATTGAGAAAAATTCAATAATAATTAAAAATAACAGTAAACTAGCTAAAAGTTAAAAAATATTAAAGACTACCAGAAAGTAGCAGAATGGTGGTTAAAAAGTACAAGTAGCAAAAGTCCAGCTAAAAGCTAAATGTAGCATCAGAAAACAAAAACAAAGCAGGTTTGCTGAAGCAGATTTTAACCAGAACTGTTTTTCAAGGAACGAAACTAAATAATGTATTTGTTTTTAGGGGCGGGGCATTCAAGGTTCTTTGTTGTCATTCTCATCACATGAGGAGGTGGAACGAAATTACGTTATTTATAAATGAAGTTAAATATGAAAGTATAAAAGTTATAAAAACTAAAAGTGACAGCAGCGATCTCCTGGATGAGCTGAAGGTTTGGACGTATGAACGGCTAAAATGGCACAAAGTCTGCGGGAGTTAGAATGCAAAAATATAAAAACAAAACATGAAAACTAATGCTGACTCAGCATTTACACAATATTGTGGGGTAAAGTTCTTAGAGCAGAGGCGACTGTGGATCACTGAGGATTGGGTCGTTTTGAAAAGTAAAACCCGTTGATGAGTTGGTTGTTGATTTTCTACAGATGAACAATAAAAAACTGATGAATAAATCCCAGTGAATCGATAAGAAACTCTTCTGGGTTTCTAATCTAAACCCATAGAGATTTACAGTTTTCATAGGAAAGTAGTTTCAGGTCGTGAACTGTGAAGGATTCCTTGGATTGAGATCTTCACACCAAACGTGCTGTTTGTAACGTCTGAGATGACAAGATGACCCTGAAGAGAAACCCACCTGGTTATTGGAGGTGATGAAGTTCACAGAGAAGTTGTTCAAAGTTTTTTTTAAGTCAAACGATGGCGTCTGTATAAAATAACTCTGTGTAGCTCACGTCTTCCTGTCCAGTGAGCTTCATAAGTTTCTCAGGAAGCTCTCCACCCTCAAGTGCTCTGTGCACTTGGATCTCCTGAATGAGTTCCTTGGTCTTACTCGTGTTGAGGTCCAGGTTGTTATTGTGGCACCATTCTGTCAAGTGCTGGACCTCCTCCCTGTAGGCTGGTTCCATGTTGTCCGTTATGAGCCCTGTAATGGTGGCGTCATCAGCGAACGGTGGTGGTAGTGGAGTGAATGGGGATGCAGTCGTATGTGAGCAAGGGGTACAGGAGGGGGCTGAGGACACACCCCTGTGGTGTTCCCGTATTTGGATGAGAGTGGAGGACCTTCCATCCTTTTATTCTGTTGCTTAGGAAATCCAGAATCCATGCACCCAGTGAGCTGCCCAGTTTTCCAACTGGTTTATAAATGTTAACCATTTGGTCAAACCATGAAAATAACGTTACATTCAACTTTATGAGAGAAGCAGAACATGTGGGGATGACTCTCGGCTACTACCACGTCTGATTTTAGCGCTCTCTGTAAAACTGACTGGGTTATAGTCTTTTTTTATTTGTTAAGGTTGCTTAGGTGCGGCAGCCATCTTGGATTAGGTTGGCAACAAAAGTCAATGACAGTCGTGCGTACAGTGGTTACTTTGAGAGTTTCATCAATGCCCAACCACTGGTTCAAGAAATATTTTGCTAACAGACAAACAAACCCATAAAATACAAACCTAAGGAGTTTTTTAACTTTTTTCACTTAAGACTAAAGACCAACAGATGTGTGTTACAGCTGCTCCGTCACAAAGTTTCCAAAATAAATAAACGTGTTGTTTTTTTAGAATGTTTAGTTTTATTTAATAAAATTAATTAATCACAATCATCTTAACCAAATGTGACCCATCACATCAGTTGAGTCGTTTTTGGGCCAAACTACCAGATTTTAGTCTTTTTCTTTAACACCTGGATCAGGAGCGGTTCCAGATGTGGCTTGATCTGTTTTCAGCTCCTGAAACTGGTCTGAATCCTTTTCAAGCGTTTTTTAATGAGGAGTTCTTTCAGCTTTTAAAAGAAGAACCCTTAAACCTGATATCTGCTCCTCAGATAAATAATGTAAACATTATTTTATAGATGAATGTTTCTGCTCAGTACCTGAGACGACTTCTGTTGACACTTGGAGCTTTAGAAATAAAGTGGATTAACTTAAATATCAGCATTTCTCAGCTGCTGTTGGAAGTAGCTTCACTAGCGCTGAAGCACTTTTAAGCTCAAAATCATAGTTCTGCTCAGAAAAATGCTTCAAAATATAATTTTTTTCTATATTTTCCAGTTATTGTGGATTTTTTTGCCAGTTCATTAAAGCAGCTGAATCTTGGCGTCGCCACCTTGTGCCTGAATCGTCTGTTGGACGTGACGGGTCTCACATTTAAGTCGTATCAACAGCTTCCCCCTCCACAGGTGCCCATTACCTGGATTACCTCCTTTTTTGTGGTTAGCTCCAGTGAAGCCCCGAAGTGAAGCCATTTGCCGTGTCTGTCTGAGTCATTACCTCCAGGAGAGGGCAGCTTTGAAATGAGAGGAAATTGCAGCTACAGCAGCGTCTTTGTCACCGATGCACAGCAATTTGTAGCGGTGAACAATGAGAGGGTCCTGAAGAGCTGCAGGGAGGAGGGGGGCTCCTGACAGGACCCTCAGCGCCTCATGGGAGCAAGAAAAATAAAAACGGGCCAAGAACAGGCTCTTATCATTTTCACTGCAGCGCAACTTTATAATTCAAGCTGAAAGATCAGGACAACAAGGAGCACGGGACAGAACAGGAAACAAACCGGATCTCCTGCAGATGAATCTGGAGAGATACAACAACATGTTTTGTGTTCCACCATTTTTCATTATTGTCGTTAGGCCTGTCACGATAACGTTTGCTGGGCGACTGTCTCAGAAATTATTGCGATAAATGATAATATTGTTTGAAATTTGACAATAATTAGTAATTATTGTCAAATTTAAGAAGAAATATGGGTTAATTTTGTGTCTAGTACCTTTTTTGACCACTGGATGGCAGTATAAGACTGTTTGAACTGAAGGATGGATAGTGAGGGAGGCCCCTTGACGTGACATGGGCTGTCTCTCTTCGGTTCTCAAAATGGTGGACGCTCGGTGTGGTTTGAGCTCTTTAGCATTTTACACACAAAGCTTTTAATAAAAATCAGTAAACAAGTTCTCAGCTTCTTTTTCAGAGAAAAACAACTTTTTACACAAAGGCACAAGTTTCAACAGTGAATTTTGGAGCTTCGACAAGACGGAGGTTTTTTCCTCGAGGTCGGCCTGTTAGCTTAGCTCGTAGCTTAGCTTCTCAGCTTAGCTGCTTTTAACTGTCCAAAAACACGATTTTGGACAGTTAAAACAGATTTAAAAGAGAAAGGGCGGGGTCAGTGAAGAACAAGAGTTGAGCCTTTTTTCATCCAGTGTCTTCAGTAGAAAGAGAGACACGAAGAAACGATAAAGACGATAAATGAAAATGAGGTCAATAATTTTCATTTATCATGCGATTAATTGATTTATTGTTTATCGTGACCGGCCTAATTGTTGTTATTATTAATGTTGTTGTTGTTGTTGTTGTTGTTGTTGTTGTTGTTGTTGTTTGCCTGTCGAAAGACTTGGCACTATTTCTGTATGTCCATAAAACTGTCTCTTGTCCGGGCCCTAACTTCTGGTCCGTCCATCCATCCACCCACCCGATCGCTCCTTTTCGGGTCGTGGGGGGTCACTGGTGCCCATCATCGTGTGAGAGATGGAGTCAGAACTTCTGGTCCTCTGAAGATAATTTAATGAAACGTGCATCGTAACTAGACGGTGTCATGCACACGTTTCATCTCCCCTGCTCTAAGGTCACAAATCAAGGTCAGAGGTTATTCAAGGTCTTTCCTTGTCCTGTTGGGTGCTACAGAAACAGTTTGTTGACGATCGTATAATGTTGTTTGCCGTTCTCTTGTTGTTTCTTATGTTCACGTCGGCAGTAAAGAGTTTTTAACAGTTTTTAAATCTTTGTTCCAGATTGGCTGATTATTCGTCAGCCTTATGGGGCCACATGACACTCCCTCCTCCGTGCTTTAATCCTTCTTTTGTCTTTTGGGGAAAAACCGGCCACATTAGAATTCACTATAAAAACATCTTTAGTCTCATATTTATCATTTCATAAACTAATGCATTCCTCTCAGTAACGGTTTTCTTTGATCTTTACACCAGACGTTGCTCTGCTTTTATATTCCAGGGTCTTTGTAAAAATCCAATCCAGAGTCTCTGCATCATTTTAGTTTGGGTGTAAAGAGTAAAATCTCACTTGTAGCGCACAAATAAACATTTGGTAGTAACGAGCTGTTCCACGTGCACGCAGGCTGCAGAACCGCACGGTCCACAGCCGACTGCCGGTGGTTTTCCTGCAGGCAGGAAGTCCTTCCAGGTGCACCGTGCTCTGCAGTTAGCTCCAAGTTGCTGCAGGCGAAAAACAATTGAAAACTAGCGATTGTATCATGTGCAGAGTTAAAAAATACATAAAATAAAGACACGAATAAGAATAAAAGATTATAACAAAAAAAACCTCATGTTCAAAGACCGGGAATAAGTTCATCTGAAAACGAGGCGTCGTTGTCGACGACCGATCCTGAAGAGTTTAATGGTCTGAGTCTGGGGTTCCCAAATGTTTCCATGCCGTGGCCCCCCCAAACAGCATTAGCTTCTGGTTGAGCCCCCCCCCCCCCCCCACCCCCCCCACACACACAGTGCTACAAAATATGTAGAAACATCAACTCTTAGAATGTTTAACTTTTATTCACTATATTCAATTAATTATTACGGTGCTGGGCATAAAAATATTAACCACGTTTTAAACACTGAATTATTTTCCCACTGAAAAAACAACTTTTGAACAAAGTGTTGACCAGAAGAACAAAACAAATAAATCTAATTTTTCTCAAACATGTTTATCTGGAAATGACAGACACAGATTGTCCTAGTGGGCAATTTTTATTATTATTACTATTTTTTATTTTTGCTTTTTTTAATCTTCTCTCCAGCTTTCTGGGCCCCCTGACGGCCCCCCAGGGAGCCGCGGCCCCCACTTTAAAAAACACTTTTCTAAAGGGTCAGAACAGTGGACTGGAGTTTTTAAATACGTGTTTGATGTTTGTATTTCAGGCTGAGGTAGCTTTAAAAGACTGACTAGCTTTTTGTCAAATAAATTATTACAACTAATATTTTGAAGCCGTTCAGGAAGGAGGTGGATGTTTCCCCCGAGGAAGTTAAAGGACGGTTCAAGGTTAAACGTTGGGATGATGCATCTGCTGTGGCAGTTTGTGCCACGTTCACTGTGACGTGACTGAACTGGAGCAGGAAATGACCAGCGAGCACCACGTCTGGTCAGCGTTGGAAAACAAGTCGGTCGTTTGCACAGATACGGAGTTAAAATGTGACTGGTAGTAGCTGAGAGTCCATCGTTTTTCTGCAGTTCTGTCACTTTTAAGATATTAACCTCTTCGTGCTTCCCTCTCCTGGACAACTGAGAAGCTCCATCAACCACATGAGGACAATAAGGTCCGAGTGTTTGTTCCTTCGGGCGGTAACTTTTTTAAATGTCTTTTTTTTTTTTAGTTTGTGAAGTTTGCCAACATCGAGGAGGACACGCCTTCATACCATCGCCGCTACGACTTCTTCGTCTCCCAGTTCAGTGCCATGTGCCACTCGACTCATGAAGATCCTGAGACCAGGAGCAGGTAAGGTCCCCCACGAACAAACGTGGGCTGCTGAACTCCAGGATCCGACCTGTTCTCAGCCGCGTAAACGTTAAACGGTTTGTAGCGTTTAGACGTTGGTTAAACCGAGGACGGAACCAGAGAGGGTCTTGTGTGGGTTTCTGCTTCGGTTTTATCTCTGGTGCCACCAAGTTATGAAGGTGAGATGATGTTTCAGGGTTCAATGAGGAAGGCTTCCTTTAGAACTGAACCTGAAGAACGAAGCCCAGAGAGACCAAACTGCTTCAGACCTTCCCCCAGTTCTTCCTTTGTCCTGTTTCTATGGTCAGGTCGCAGATCTAACTGATCCAGAAGGGACTCCCAGACCTCCCTCCCACTCACTGACACTCTCCAGTTCCTCTTGGAGGATCTCAAGGTGTTCCCTGATCAGAGAGGTCAGGTGGTGGTCCCTCCAGTGTGTTCTGGGTTCTCCTGCCGGTGGAACGTTTGGTAAACCACGTCCTAATTAGATGCTTGAACCACCTCAGCTTCATCGTTGTGATGAGGAGGAGCAGGGGCTCCCCTTATCTCTGACCCTGTGCACCTTTTATGAGAACGTCCCTTTCAGATGATTAGACTGTTTAAGTCATGGTCCACCCCCATGACCATAGATGAGAGCTGGAGCAAAGACAGACCAGTAACGGACCTCCTTCTTCATCACAGCAGACCAAAGCAACGTTCTCATTATTACCCATGAGGCATCGATTCATCAGTTCGTCTCTCAGGTACTTGAGCACCCCCACCTGGAGGAAGCCTCGAGTAGCGTGGCCTGAGACAGAAGAGCTGACTCATCTTGAGCCTTGAAGACGCCAACAGAACTCCATCATCAGCATAAAGCAGAGGCCCTGAGGTTCTCCAAACCAGACACCCTCCCCTCCATGACCGCACCTTCAGATCTTGTCCACGAAGAACGGGACCAGAGACGAGGTGCAGTCCTGGTGGACTCCAGTCTGAGAACGAGCTCGACTTTAGTTTAAAACAACACAAACGGGTAAATACAAAAACGTTCTTGATTCTTTAAAAGTTACATTTTCTGTTTTTGGTTCTTGTCTTAGAATCTGGATCCACAAGATGACATTCAGTTTATTTTATTTTAATTAAATATCAAACCCTTTCAGTTTGTTACCAACACAAGCCAACATTATAAGATGTGAAACATCTTGAAACTTGTCTGAGAAGAGCTTTTAACAACACATTGCTTATTATCCCCAGGATCTGAGCAAAGCTCATCTGCATATGACTTTAAAATCAAGGTGGTTCTCGACCAAATGATGAATTGTTTAATTTGGCTCCGAGGCTCCCTGAAGCAGCTGTTAATGCACAGAATCCTGATCATTTCCCTTTTTATGAGGTGGAATTGGGCATTAGCCTGAGAAATCAGCTGCTCCAGTCTGAGCCGTGTCCTTGGATGGAAATAAAACACATTTTCTGATTGATTTTCACATTTCACTTATGGATACTGAGGTCCAAATTGGCCATAATGCCTACATTTGTAGTTTTATTTCTAGAAATACTTTAAAGGCAGTAAAGGGTTTCACATCAGCAGCAACACTGAGTGGTAGGAGTGGTAACGCAATCCCCACCAGAGCCGCTCTCATCCCACAGATATCCATTAAGCACAGGTATAAATACATCTCCCCCAATCCATTTTTCATAACGTCTCCCTTCCACTGAGACCACACGGCTCAGGAGGGCTCCGCTGCACGTCCCGGAGTGAAACACGAGCACTTGAAACGACGCTGGCCATAAAATGTGGCGTTAGAGCAGCTGAGTGTAAATGCTGGGAAAAGGTTGAAGGGATTCACTGAGGAGCCGGTTTGCAGAACTTACCGCTCTGTCCTTCAGACTGGTGGAGGTTCTGGACTTTTACATCAACATCATGACCCAGTTTGGTCCAATCTTCAGCTGTTGGACAGCTGAGGAGTTCATGGTCGACTCGGTGACAGCGAGGAGCCCAAACCACTGAACACACAGAACCCTAGACTATAAGGAAGGTGGACTTGTTTATTCTTGATCGCAGGAGGGAAAGAAGCAGTTTTGCTCCCAGTCTGAGGTGAGGCTCCAGCAACATCTCTACAAGAACCACTTCCAGACACATGATGTTCATCAGAGGACCAGCACACCTGCTTTCATCAGAACTGACCTCAGACTGTAGACGGGCGTACACTGTCCAAGTGTCTGTGGTCTTGTGAGAAAATGTTTTCCTGGAGGAATAAATCAAGCCAGGGTTTAATTTGAGAGTGCAGGAAAACCAACATTCACCAATAATTAGTCATGCACAACAATCTTCAGAGACGAGGAGAGAATATTTAGCGTAGCAAGCCCAGAGGATTAGAGCCTGAGGAGCCTGTTGGTAGGTGGACCATTCAAACAAACCTCGTACGTCTTCTGGAGAAACACTAATCCTTAAATGAAAGGACCGAGCCGAGTGTGTGTGAAGGGAGACAAACAAAACTATTATTCTGGGCCATAATGGCTTCTGAACATGTGCAAGCAGCCCAGATATTTACTGATGGTTTGTTCCCAGATTTGCTGCGGTTGACACATTTTTCCTGTCTGAGTCATAACTCGTTAGATTGAAACTCATTATAGATTATCACGTTAGTCTTCTGCTGCGTTAATCTGAGGACAGGCCTCGCTTCACCTTTAATGAAAAGACTTCCAGAACAAAAACTCTTTTACTGTCAAAAGTCTTGCGTATGAAGACAAATGATCAAATTAGCCCTCGGTTGGGAAATTCACACTATAACTCCAAATATCTCATTTGAACGTTGTTTTGTATTGATTGATTTAAAACGTATTAACATAAATCTGACAGTGTATTTATGTTCCCATTATTTATTTATTTGTTATAAATTTTGTTTGAGGCAGTTCGTAGAACAAGGAAGGCCTCTCCTGACCATGAACCATGCATTATCAGATCCTATAAGGAGTTCCTCAAGGATGACCACTTGGTCCTTCATTTTCTGTAAAACTCTACAAAACTTTTTTTTTCTTCCCATAATCACTTTATTGTGGAGTTTCATTGCCGTTGATGCCTTTTGAAATTTATATATGCAAATTGCTGTTTTGATATGAAATTTATAATTTGCTTAAGCCCTTCAGTCTTGCTTCATACTAGCTGACACAAAAAAAAAATCTGTCAGGACATGCAGGGTGGTAGCAGGTTCTTCAGAGGGTTTAAGAACACCGTGGGCTTGTTTCAGTCTTGCGTCCACATGGAAACAGCATTTTAAAAGATATAAAATTGTATATATTTTTTAATGGTTGGATCAAAAGGACGCTGCTGTGGCAGTTCAAGCATCTGATTATGATTCCTCTTGAGTGCCTTTCGTTGGAAGATTTTCCAGACATGCTCCACTGGGACCCTGTGGCAGACCCAGAATTTGCTGGATGGATTATTCTTCCTCACCTTGGATCCCCAGGAGGAGCTGGAGTGTTACTGGAGAGAGTTGATGGGTTCCACTGCTGGATGTGTTGGATCAATGGAAGCGAAAGGAGATGGATGTCTAGAGTGAACATTTTTTAAAATGTCCACTTGAGTTTGTGTATAAATGATCAAAACACCACCTTTAAAAACTGATGACCCATGACATGAGGTCATCCACTTTTTCTTTTACAGTAGTCCCTCGCTACTTCGCAGTTCGACTTTCACGGACTCACTCTTTCGCGGTTTTTTTTAAGTAAGATTGGACATGACACACAACTGGATGATTGATGGATGAGCCGCATGATCAGCATGGATTTTTTTATTTGAAATAAATTATTTTAAATGATTTCGCACCTGATGCACCTGTGTGCAGCCCATAGGTGCAGGGAGGAGCTCCCTCCTGCAGCGTGTCACGATGTCCGCTCTGCAGCAGAGAAGTGGGCGTGGCCGAGAGCACTGGCAGGAGGCAGAGAGCAGAGATCATGACATTCTGTCTCTTTTAGAGCATTTAGAGTTTAGAAACATTGTTTAGAATATTGCAAGAGTGCAGGAAGGCTTTAAAATGCCTTCACATATATATATTTTTTTTCTTCTTTCGGCTGCTCCCTGTGTTGGGGTCACCACAGCGAACTGAGTCGCACGAAGACGTGGCAGTTATTTTTACACTGGATGTTCTTCCTGATGCAACCACAGACACCGAGCTACCACAGCCTCTGTGTGGAGCAGAGAGCTGCATCTAGAGCATCCAGAGGAGCAGATGGTGGGGGTTGAGGGCCTTGCTCAAGGGCCCAGAGTGGGACGAATGAGGGTGGAGGCAGGTGTGAGTGCTTCACCTACCCCACCCACATTTTGTTGACGGTACCGGGGCTTGAACCGGTGATCTTCCAATCACAGGCACACACACACACATATACATATATATATATATATATATATATATATATATATATATATATACTAAAATAAACTACTACTTGCTACTTGTACTACTATTCCCACATTGCAGTTTTTCACTTATCGCAGGAAGTTGAGAACGGAAACCCCCCGTGTTAAACGGCGACTACTGTATTCACATTTCACACCAGCCTGCAAGCTTTCCGTGCACGCGTCCCGCCTTGTTTCCTGTTTTTGTTGTAATTTCATGGCAGTGTTACAGCACCACCTATAGGCCTGATGAAGTTACTGCAGCGGTTTGGGTCATTCTCATTGTTTCTGTGGATAAAGACATTTCTGGAAACAGTGTCGTGTTTAAGATGTTTTTAGAAACGTCAAGACCTTAAAAATCTTCTGAATGCAGCAGAACCTCTGAGGCGTAAAGATACTTTTTCTTTAGATCTCCCTAAATGTAAAATTAGAAAATAAAACGAACAGGTGATGCTGTACAGTAACTTTATCATTCTATCCACATCATGTTCACAATATTTATTATTTATTAAAAAAGACACAGTTGTTTTGCAGCTCCCCCATCCTATCAGTCTTATTTCTAAACAGGTATTGATTCTTTGATTTAGTTGTGTTCTCCCAGAGAGAGGGCTGCCGTTAGATTAAAATACTGATGAAAACATCTGAAGCCGGTTTTTGTTTTATTCCTTGTAGGAGAACGTTTTTCTGCCTTCACAGCGTCTTTACAGAGTTTGGACTGCAGCAGATGAGACCCCTTCAGTGGTGGCGTACCAGAATCTTTGTGCATAAAAATGTGAATTTTATCTCTATTTGTATGTATGAGGGTGTGCGTGTCTGATTTGGGGGGTGAGCCGGGGATGCTGGGATTATTTTCCAGTTATCTCTATACCTCACAGCGGCCTGCTCTACACGGGGCGACTTCTCGCTCTGCTTTTGTATTTCATTATTCCACTCAGCGGCGACTCGCTGGAGGAGGGGAGGAAATCCCAAATAGAATTTCTGTGGTGCTGATTGGATCACGCTGCAGACGGGGTCACCTGCCCCGAGTTTGTTATTGCTCAGAGAGTTTTGTGTGAGAAACAGCAGCGGTGGACAAAGACTCAGCCGGACCGCTCTGAAACGTTCGGCTGTGCAGACTGTCGGCGCTCGGCTGCCGGTCGTGCCACGTTGGGTTTGTGCAGCAACTTTAAAGGAAAGCTTTGAAGTCTTTAAATCGGTTTTAGCTGCAGTATACATTTATTTGTTTAGCAACAAATAAGGTTCTTAGGAAGTCCGCCCTCATTCGGTTCTTGGGTTGAACACTTTAACGGATGAGGTCTGAATCAGGTTCTAAAAGGAATCGAGTCTAAACTCGAGTTCACAAAACCTCAGCAGATTTCTTCATGTTGTCATTCACTGACTCGAGTATCCTTTGGTCCACGGAGAAGACCAAACGGCTGCGGAGTGCTCGAACCAACAACCCTCCACTTGGCCTGTCGCGATAATTAATCAGTTTAATCGCATGATAAATGAAAAATATAACCTCATTTTCATTTATTGGCTTAATCATTTCTTCTCTCTCTCTTTCTACTGAAGACACTGGATGACAAACCTCCGGTGCTCTTCACGGACCCCTCCCTTTCTCTTTTCTCTTTAAAATCTGCTTTAACCCTCTAAATTTGTGCTTTTGGTTCGTTAAAAGCGATGGTTTGAGAGGAGTAAGGGAGGCCATCTTTGTGAAAAGAAACCGTCCATCATTAAACAGGGGTGGAGCCTCCAGGTTCAACTGTCCCCCTCTTACAATGCTGTGATTGCTAGTATCACTCAGCCCTCTGTGAGTAGTAAACAGCCATCAGGTGCTAATGATCCATTGTTAGGCTGATGGTCCTTCTTGAGCATGTGATCAGCTGGTTTTGGTTGTCAGCAGCAAACTGGTTGATCCACTCTGAGAAGGTGCTATTTAAGAGACTGAGCTGAATACAGCACCTCAGACTGAGGAAGTCCTCAGGATGAGAGACGAAACATTTCTATATTGTTTTGCTTTTTGTTTTTTCAATGTCCAGAGGACCAGATTGAACTTTTTTAGAATAAATATAACAGTTATAATAATAGAACAATTATAATAAATATAACAGTTATAATAAATAACAACAGTTATAATAAATGTCAGAGAGCAGAGTGTTTTTGTGCTGCTCACCTTTTTTCAGCTTGTAGGAGCAAAACTAATAAACTCCAGGCTCCAAGGAGACGTTGGTGGATTCACGGTTACATCCCATTGAGCCCCGTCTAAATAAAGGTTGAATGAATGAATAGTCCAATTGGTGAAGACGCCACCGTCTCTACTAACTGTCATGCACGATGAATGCAGCTGAGCCTGCATCAGGGTTGCCAGATCAATTTAAAAAGTCTCATCTACCCCCTTCTTTTCTGTGCACATGTTCAATAAACACAACACACACCTCAACTTGGAATATCTTTACTCAGCACATCTGACAGTTTAACTCAAAATACTATCATTTTAAAGTGACAGTACTGTAGTTCATAAGTTCTTATCTGGCAACGTGACTGACATTAAAACTACAGCATTTTTGGGTAAACTTGCTCATTTTTTGTTTATTACTCCCAGTAAACATTGAAAAACACTGAAGTTTCCAGAGGTTGTTCTCACAGGGTCTTCTAGCAGGTAGACCACTTTAAAAGCAGCTCCATGATGAAGAAGTGTGGACACCCCCTGCTCTAATGCTTCATAAGTTCTACCCTGAACTGGTCTGTTGTGGTTTTTATTTTCTGCTGAAGGCCCGTCTTTAACCGCCTCTGTTTCCTGCTCAGGATCCGGGTGGCTGGGATCAAAGGCCTGCAGGGCGTTGTGAGGAAGACGGTGAACGACGAGCTGCAGGCCATCATCTGGGAGCCGCAGCACATGGACAAGCTGATCCCCTCCATGCTCTTCAACATGCAGGACAGCGAGGACCTGGACAGGTACCGAACGGGCCGAGCCAAAACCACCTGTTCTGTTCTCTTGCTTTCACTTCCTCTTCCTTCATCTCATCGCTTCCATTTCGCCTGAACAAAAATCTGGTTTTGGGTCTCTGCTGCGTTTTTGCTGACGAGAACCTCTCGAGTGGAAAGACTCTTCCTCCTCAGGCCGAGCGGAGCTCAGAGGTTCTGGTCAAACTCCGTCTGGGTACGAATGAGCCCTGGATCTGGGGTTTGTTGCTCACGGTCGCCACCAGGTTCTGGAAGGAAAGTCCGGCATCTGAAGCCGAAGGACTTCACTGAAGTTTGCTGATGAAGCTGAAACTGAACTGTCCGGTGAAACAAGCGGAACAGAAGCTAAAATAAGCTAAACATTAAAAAAAAGCTAAATGTTGCACAACAGTAGCTAAAAACTACAATTGTCAAAACAGTAGCTGAAAGATAAAATATAATGAATAAAACCTAAAATTAGCAGGATTGTAGCTAAATGCTAACATTAGCGAAGCAGTAACTTGAGCCTAAAATCAGTGGAACATTAGCTAAAACCTAAAACTACAAAAATAAAAAAAATAAAACTTAAAATTAAAAAAAGATTGTGCGTAAAAGCAAATATTGGCTAAACAAAAGTCAAACCTAAAATTTGTTCAATAATAGCAGCTAGCTAAACAGTAGCTAAAACCTAAAATCATCCACCAGTAGCTAATAGCTAAATTTCTTCCCAAAAAAAATAAAACCTAAAATTAGCTAGACAGTAGCTAAAAGCTAAACTTGGCAAAACAAATTTAAAACCTAAGAAAAGGAAAGCAGCAGCTGTAAGCCAAAAGTTAGCTTAAACGTAAAACCAGCTAAACAGTAGTTAACAGCAAAAAGTTTCAAAAGCAGCTGTCTCTATATGAGCCGAACCTTTTGATGCCAGAATAGTTGATGTGTGCTGAACTAAAGGGACCCTTCACTTCAGGTTCAGCTCATTTTCAATGGAAGTCAGTAAAGTGAAAACTCTGAGCTCTTGGGCGCGGGCGGATGTGGGGGTGGTTGAGAGAAATCCAGAAGTCCCGTGTCCTCCTTTGAGTGAAAGAAGACAAAAACCGAACATTTTAGTGCAGGCAGGCTGGATGTAGCAGTCGTTTCAACAAAAAGCAGGCGAACGTTTTGTTTATGCTCTGGTGCCTTTTTCAAGCAGCTGAAAGGACGTGTGGGTTTAAATGTTCCTCGGCTGTTTGTTGTCACTTCAGCTCTGAAAAGAAATGTCTGACAGTTGAAGGACAACGATGCAGCTTCCTGCCCACTCAGGCGCAGCGTCCATCTTTAAGAAGCTCAGCGTCTCCGCAGCTTCCTGTCCAACACAAAGTCCGTCGCCCTCTTTGTTCCTGATGCAGCAGCAAGTTAAAGTTGTGTCTAACGCGCCATGTTGCCAACATGTTATCAACATGTTGGCAACATGTTACCAACATGGTAACATGTTGCCAACATGTTATCAACATGTTGGCAACATGTTACCAACATG